AACACTTGTCCATCTATCAGCAGACTCTATCTTGAGCAATGTATTCCAGGACACACACTTGGATACGCTGTTTCAAAGGCAGTTAGAAACAACATGAAGGAAAAGAGAAAATATGAACCTATCTCTTGCTTCTTCATGAATGCACCACAGAAAGGTTCACTCTAATCAAAACAGTTGATGTTGAACTAATAGCTACTCATTTCATTAAGGCAGCATATCCCAACTCTTTAGGAATGCTGTAGTGAGACTCATTACACGTTTGCCCATAGTTCATAGAGCATGAAAGGAACTGACAGATTACTTAAAAATATGCATCCTTGCACACCCAAAACCCATAGCTTAAAAAGAATTTTCTGAAAAACAGCTCCATTACAAAGTGGCCAAAAGATAGGAATAGACACTTCTCAAAAGAAGACATACGAGCAGCCAACAGATACATGAAAAAATGCTCAGTCTCCCACAAGTCATCAAAGAAATGCAAATTAAAACCACACTGAGATACTAGTGAACTTTTCTATAAGTCAGGATGGTCATATTCAAAAACTCAAAAAACAACAGACGCTGGAGAGGATGCATTGAAAAGGGAACACTTCTACACTGTTGGTGGGAATGTAAACTAATACAAACTCTGTGGAAACAGTCTGCCGATTTCTAAATGATCTAAAAACCGACCTTCGATACGATCCTGCAATCCCCCTACTGGGAACTCAAATCACTCTATGAAAAAGATACCCGCATACGCATACTTATTGCAGCATTATTCAAAATCGCAAAAACATGGAATCAACTGTGCTGCCCATCAAAAGAAGACTGGATTAAAAAAATGTGGTACGACTCACCTGGGCAGCAAGACCTCATCTCTACAATAAATAAAAAAATCAGCCGGGCGTGGTAGCGCATGCCTGTAATTCCGGCTACTTGGAAGACTGAGGCAAAAGGATCGCCGGAGCCCAGCAGGTCGAGGCTGCGGTGGCCGGGAGCGGCCACTGCACTCCAGTCTGGGCGACAGAGTGAGACTCCAACTCAAAAAAAACCAAAATGTGGTACATATACATGATGGAATATTACACAGTCATAAAGAAAGACAAAGCTATGAACTTCGCAGCAACTTGGATGGACTTAGAGTCTTTAATATTGAGTGATCTATCACAGAAACAAAGAACTGAGTATCACGTGTTCTCTCTCACATGCAGACCTCGAACAATTATCACAATACTATAAGAAAAGGATTGGCAGTAGTGGGAAACTGCCAGGGGAGCAGGGGGTGGTATTGGCAGTAATCGGAAACTGCCAGGGGAGGGGGGCACACCTCATCAACAAGGGTACCTGCATAATGAACATTTGTATACCTAACCCTGAACTGCACCCCACATCTTTAAAATATTAAATAAAAATAAAATAAAAAAGAACTTTCTGTATGGCTGAGTCATAATTCTCTATGTTTCCTTGAAGGAAACAAAGAGATTTATGAAGATACAGATCACTGAGGCAATTCCTATATAACTACATCTTGTACTGTGAAGGAAGATGCTTATTCTCACTGGCAAACAGTAAGTAACCTCTTACTCCGTAAAACAAACATACATAAATATTGCTACCACCAGCAGAATAATAAAAGACAGATCCTTGCTCACCAAACTTTGCAAGCATATAGATAAGATTTTTAAAAATTTTTCTTAATTCTGTAAACACGGCTAGCGACTGTCATTATTCCTTCTTTCTCTTAAAGAATGAGTGCTTGGCTGGGCGCAGCGGCTCAAACCTGTAATCCTAGCACTTTGGGAGGCCAAAGTGAGAGGATTGTCTGAGCTCAGGGGCTTGAGATCAGTCTGGGCAACTTAGTGAGACCTCAACTCTACAATTAAAACAAATCTATAATAAGTCAGGCACGGTAGTGCATGCCTGTAGTTCCAGCTTCTTGGAAGGCTGAGGTGGAAGAATTGCCTGAACCCAGCAGGTCGAGGCTGTGGTGGCTGTGAGCATGTCACTGCACTCCAGCCTGGGCAACAGAGTGAGACTCTGACTCGAAAGAAAGAAAGAAAGAAAGAAAGAAAGAAAGAAAGAAAGAAGAAAGAAAGAAAGAAAGAAAGAAAATAATGAGTGCTCTACTGTTGATGAAGACTTGAGGAATTAAGCAGGCCAGTTTGGAAGAAAAGAACATTAATGACTATCCCAAATCATGCCCATATATTAATATTTTATCAGAAAGGTTTATGCTATGGCCTGAATGTTTATGTCCCCTCAAAATTCATAGGTTGAAATACTAATCCTCAAGGTGATGGTATTAGGAGTTGGGGACTTTGAGGGATGATTAGGTCATGAGGGTGAAGCCCTCATAGACATCCTGCTATATAGTGTCCTTATAAAAAAGAGGCACCAAAGAGACCTCTCACCCCTTCCACACTGCTAGAAGATGCCATCTATGAATGAGAAATCAGGCCCTCATCAGACACGAAATCTGCTGGCACCTTGGTTTTGGACTTCCTATACCCCAGAACTGTGAGAAATAAATTTCTGTTGCTTACAAGCTACCCAGATAATGGTATTTTGTAGAGCAGCCTGGATGAACTAAGACAGTATATCATAGTTTATCTGCCCTAAAATCAGAAAAGCACTCCATTGTAATAAATCCTATATCTCCACAGCAAGGAGAGAAAAAAGTGAAATAATTATTTGGATCACTGAGGTTAAAAAAACCAAAAACCATAAAACAAAAAACATTGCAGGAACAACTTTGGGTAATTCAAATGAAAATAGAGATGTCTACCTCTATCTATTTCCCATCTTGAAATTACTCAAATTGACTTCTCTATTTTCCAGTGACTTTTTTTTTTTGAAAGTAGAATTTATTGAGAGGACAGAAAAACTCCCAGAGTAGGAGGGGACCCGAAGGGGCACGGTGGCTCAGCCTGTAATTCCAGCACTTTGGGAGGCCGAGGCGAGTGGATTGCCTGAGCCCAGGGGTTCAAGACCACCCTGGGAAACTTGGTGAGACCTCGTGTTTACAATAAATCACAAAAACTAGCTGAGTGTGGCGGCATGTGTCTGTAGTTCCAGCTACTTGGAAGGCTGAGGCGGAAGGATCCCCTAAACCCAGCAGGTTGAGGCTGTGGTGGCCATGAGCGTGCCAACTACACTCCAGCCTGGGAGACAAGAGTGAGACTCCAACTTAAAAAAAAATACAATTATAGGATTGGAGAGAAACCATGTATCCCACACCTTTCACCTTCTGGAAGCACTATAGTCCAACCATTTCTCAAAAAATGAGACTACTATTTCTTAAGACATCATAAGGAGATTTCTTATTGAGTGATGAATTAGGTAGAAAAACAGCAGAGAGAAAGCTAGCTTTCTGCTCTTAAAATATCAGTTATGGATGAACAAATGCTTTTCAAGGGGCTCATAAATATATGACCCTCTATAGCCTAAAAGTTGCATTATTATAGTCTAGTCAAAATGATTTGGGGCTGGGTGTGGTGGCTCATGCTTGTAATCCCAGCACTTTGGGAGGCTGAGGTGAAAGGATTGCCTGAGACTAGAAGTTTGAGAACAGCCCGGACAACTTGATGAGACCTTGTCTCTACAATAACTTAAAAAATTATCCAAGTATAGTGATACGTGCCTGTAGTCCCAGCTACTTGGAAGGCTGAGGTGGAAGAATGATCTGAGCACAGCGGATCGAGGCTGCAATGGCTGTGATCATGTCACTTCACCCCAGCCTGGGTGACAGCATGAGACTCCTACAAAAAAAAAAGGTGCTGTATTTGAAGCATGGTCTGATAATTTGTTTAATGATAATACCCAGAGATGGAAATGGTCAGTGTGGCAAAAAAACAAAAAACAAAAATACCTGCCCCCCAGTTTCAACTACCCAAAGTTCCAATAGGCAAAAACAGACAGAGGGGAGAAGAGGACTGTTACAGATGGAATCAAGGTAATGAAATTAAGTGCTGTAGAGAGACTTTTGTCTATAATTTAAAAATCACCATTATGTATATTCAAACCATATGATGTTAATGTCTATCTATCTATCATCTATCTATCTATCTATCTATCTATCTATCTATCTATCTATCTATCTATCTACCTACCTATCTAGGAGTCTCACTCTATCTATCTATCTATCTATCTATCTATCTATCTATCTATCTATCTATCTATCTATCTATCTAGGAGTCTCACTCTGTCGCCCAAACTCGAGTACAGTGGCACGCTCATGGCCACTGAAGCCTCAACCTGTTGGGCTCAGGTGATCCTTCCGCTTCAACTTTCCAAGTAGCTGGAACTACAGACATGTGCCATCACACTTGGCTTATTTTTTTGGCTTATTGTAGCCAAGTTGCCCAGGCTGTCTTGAATCCCTGGGCTCAGGCAATCCTCTTGCCTGGCCTCTCAAAGTGCTGGGATTACAGGTGTGAGCCCCCGAGCCTGACCGAAGCTAAAGTATCTTTAAAGTCCAATATGTAAGAGGCAAGATAACAGAATATTTAATAAAACATTTGTTTTTCTGATGTTTCACCTATTTTTTTCATGTTTTCCTAAGGTCTAGACAATTCACTAGTCAAGAAATAAAGGGAATATATATATTTTGTCTAACATGCTTTATTTTGAATTTTTTATGCAACTGTTTACTATAAAGAGATTTTTTTCTTCTTATTATTATTTGTATAAATTTAGGGGATATAAGTGCAGCTTTGTTATATGAATATATTGTGCAGTGGTTAAGAATTAAGATACAATTTCCAGTCCAAATACTCTTCATGCATTACGAAGTGGTATCAAATAAAATGGATCTCCCCATCCCGGTCTTTTGAGTCAGCTTCTCAATGAAGACAGCAGTATGTCTCATCACTAGGTAGTGGCTGCTTGGAGTCATGGGAAACATGACCAGAGGCCATAACCAGTGTGACCTGAAAGGGTAACTTAATTGATAATTATGGTTTGTCACCTCCAGCAATTGCTCAAAAAGAAAGGGAGAGAAGAAACACAAGCTTTGTGTGTTGGTTATTCAAAATGCACTTTTTATTCACTTTAACACAGATTTTTTTTTTACAGTTGAAAGAAAATATCTGATACACAATTTTGAGTTTTTTTTTGTTTTTTTGTTTTTCGTTTTAGCAGCACCTGCAACAAGAAGATTGTGGAATACCTCAGGATAAAGTAGAGCTGACTGAGGCAGGCACAAATTAACCTGAAATTCATCAATCCACTGAAGACACAGAATCTGAGGCCCCCTGACATGACAATAAACTAAATAAATATTCTGTATCATGTTTTAATGGACCATTGAAAGACAGTATAGTCCTAATTAGAAATATATTATCCCCCAAATCTAATGTTCTTTAAAAGAATACCTACTGAAAATATTGCACTGTACATTCTAGGGTCCACAGTCAATTCCTAAACCTATATGCACAGTTCCTGGTACTCACAGATTTCAGCCTTTGGTGTTTTTTAACCTTAGTCAAACTATATGTCAGCACCCCACTGAGTGTTACTCACGAATGCCACTGTTTTTGTCACTTAAAATGTTAAGTACTTTCATTAAGATATTGTGTAATTTGGCAGAAAAAAATTAGTATGGCTAAGGGCTTCAGTTGACGGGCCAAGAAAATTAACACTTGTCTTGGATGGACAAAATACCTATGAATCAGATACCCACATAATTTTTTAATTCAAATGACCACATGCCACTCTAATAAAGACAAGTATTTTTGTGAGTTGATGGAGGTCTTTATGAAGGCCTGAGATCTACAAATAGAAACAATTATAAGCAGAGTGCAAGTAGAAAGAGAAGGCCCCAGGTTTCATGCACTTAAAAATGATTAGCATTTAACAGTTCAACATACAGATTTTCACCACAACATGATAGTAGCAAAATGATCATAGAACTTGAAAATCAGTGTGGTTGGCTATAGGCATAGGCAGGATAGGGACCAATACTTAAGAGCCATGGGGTCCCAGTTCTGGTTTTGACTTCTGGCATCAAAGTTAATTGAATAATAGGGTCAGGACTATATCATAATTGGAAATATTGAGTACGATTGGGCTGAAAAATTGCCCTCTTGTCTATGTGGCCGAAAAGTCCCAGAGCTCTTAAAGCACATAAGGTCCCACATGTAAGGCTGATTCTATATGTGGCTACAATGGAGAGGTCTAGGCTGTATTCCTGTGAAAGCTCCCACCCGCTTCCTGGCCTGGGTCTCTTTCTGGGGTCATTTCTAACTCCTTCACCTCCTTGGGTAACTTCTTTTTAAATCACAGATATTTTAAAGTCCAGATTAAAAACTATGCAGGACGAACAGATCAATCCACAAGAACCAGACTGCATATTCATATTCATAATATGGTATATAACTGGGAGTCATGGTAACGAAAATTGTCAAACCACTTTTATATTTTAATGTAGTATCTGTATGATGTTTTTCTCAGGGCACATAAAGATTACACAGAGCTTAAGAATTTTTCCTGCCACAGTGCAAAAGCAAAAGGGCTACACAGTTGTTCAAGGCTGATCACAGAATGGTTTGAGAATTTTTAAAGTCCTTCTCCATAGTCTTAGCTGTTACCTTCAGAAAAATCCAACCACAGTATGGCACTGACATAGTTTACAGATTCTTAGAATTTACAGTCAGAAAGGACTTTATAATGAACATGTATTCAGTACAGAAATTATTTTTATGGTATTGTAACAGATGGTCACCCAGCGAATATTTTCACTGAAAGGGAGCTCACTATTAAGGCAGTTCATTCTAATGTTTCGACAACTCAAATTATGAGAAATTCATTCTAACACAGGGTTAAAATCTGCTTTTTTTGCTTTCAGTGTCTTAATTTGGTCGACTGAACATACAGTGCAAGAAATCAGTTCCTTCTTCTACAATAAATATTTGAGTTAAGGAACTCTATGAGAAAAGCCCATTATCCTCCAATCTTTTCGGAAGCCCTCTCCATGAGCCCAGCATGGTGGATCAAAGGACCATCTAAATTATGAGCAGAGAGCACTGCGCCCAAAGCCATACGTACTAAGCAGCATTGCTAAATTGATAAGAGGTTGTCAGAGAAGCAACATCTCTATGCAGCAAAAGTAGACTTATGAAGTAAAAGCAGACCAACCATTTATTTGCAAGGGTAGTTGGCATAATTAAGCATAATCCATTTATTAGTATCCTGTGACTTCAAACACAAGAAGTATGATCAATTGCCAGTGTCATTAGAGTATTTCCTATTGAGATGGTATTTTCTGAAAAGCTCAGCTGGGAGTATTTCTTATTGAAATAGTATTTTCTGAAAAGCTCAGATTGGAGCAAGCCAGACATAAGGATTTAAACAAGTCAATGTACATTATTATACTTTTGCATTCCTAATCATTATAACTTCTTTATAATTCAAACTTAGGAATCCTTGTTTGCATTATTATTTTATTGTAATACAGCTCAAAGTCTTATTTTTTTTCCCCTTTAGCAGAAATGTCAGAAACTGCTTGGCAAGAGTCTGATGGTGACATTTGTTAATTGATTAATGGAACGCTTTAAGAGATAGCGGTAGCTCTTTAATTCCTTCATGCGGCTTGGTTCTAGGTTTAAACTGTGACTTAAAAAATATTTAAATCTCTCAGGTCTAAAACTTTTTGATACATCCTGAGACACACAAGAAGAAGAAATAGCAGAAATCACACAAAAACCACGTGGTTTGATAGTTTTTTTAAAATTGCTCTACACTTCAATTTGCAAGGTTCTGTTTCACAATCAGAACCATATCTCTTACCTTCTTGTGTGTGTGTGTGCACTCTTAGAGGAGCACAGTTATTCTTACAATATTGACTCACCAATTTGGGGCACACATTTAAAAGGCTCCTTATTTTTAACAGCATGAAGATCCTGCTTTGGAGCCACTGTTCAAGTCAATGGTGTGACCTAACATGCAATGTTCCAGCTGTTCCTCTACAGCCAACACCTGCCTGACAGCTTCTTCAAAGGCCACTGTCACATTAGTGTCATCTTTGGCACTAGTTTCTAGATAAGGGTAATCCCCATTCTCCATGCACCAGGCTTGTGCCTCCTCAGTAGTCACTTGCCTATCCTCTTTGTCTACCTTGTTACCCAGAACTACAAAGGGGAAGTGTTCAGGGTCCTTCACATCTGCATAGTAAATAAATTCTTTCTGCCAGTTACCAAGATTCTCGAAGCTCTGCCGGTCATCCACACTGAAGGTCAAGAGGCAGCAGTCTGCTCCCCTGTAGAAGGGTGTCCTAAGGCTCTTGAAACGTTCCTGTCCTGCTGTGTCCCAGATCTGGAGGGTTACAAAGCGTCCATCTACCTCCAGATCTCGATTTAAGAACTCTACCCCTATGGTATGAAAAGCCTGGGAGTCAAATTTATTGGTTACATAACGGTTCATAAGCGAGCTTTTCCCAACTCCACCATCACCCAAGAGAATGACCTTTAAGAGCAGCGATTTCCCACTCATTGTTGCAGCACCAGAAGGGAAGGAGTTTGTAACCAAGATAACCTGAAAATAAAAGAAAAAGTCGGATGGAAAACAGTTAAACCTGAAACTGCAATAAACTTCATAGAAAATTTCTCTGAATTATGAGGCCTTCTAATTTAACATCTCTTGATTTATGCTCATTAACTGTTGTAGTACAGAACAAGAAATAAAACTCTTTGTAGCAGTGCAGTATGTAACAGTGGTTAAGAAATTAATTTAGAAGTAAAAAAAAACACCTCTTTTTGCATAGGGGGAAAAACAGGGCTTGTTTTTCTGAGGTCTCTTGCCAGTGCCAGGAAAATGGCTGCATGCCATGGGTAAATGGACTAGCAGATGGTCCTATAATTTGGTTCAGTTCTGACCCTATTCTAGGGGAGAGAGCCTAGAACAGGAATGTTACTTAAATGTGACCACTTTAGCGTCCAGTTTGTACAGTTCCAAACAGAGTCAAATAATATGAAACTGATTTGGGGTTTAAAGTCTGCTCCCGATGAAGCAACGAATTGTTGAGAAGAGACTGTGTACTCTGGATTCCTGATTCTGTCTGTGGACGTCTGGGCCAGAATTAGTTTGGACCCTCAGAATTTGGAAAAGGCTAAGTTTCTACAGGCATTTACCCCATCATACTTGCATTGCTATGGATACCCTTATAAACAAAGAATCTTCCATAATCTTTTCTTCATGAAACAATGACACTTAAGTTGATGACAGTTGACTGATACCAATGTAACAGCTATCATTAAGACAGAAAATCTTGGCCAGGCATGGTGGCTCATGCCTATAATCCTCACACTTTGGGAGGCCGAGGTGAGAGAATTGCCTGAGCCTATGGGTTCGAGACCAGCCTGGGCAACTTGGTGAGACCTCATTTCTACAATAAATCAAAAAAATTAGCCGGGTATGGTGGCATGTGCCTGTAGTTCCAGCTACTTGGAAGGCTGAGGTGGAAGGATTGCCTGAACCCAGTAGGTCGAGGCTGCGGTGGCTGTGAGTGTGCCACTACATTGCCGCCTGGGCGACAAAGTGAGACTCCAACTCAACAACAAAAACCCAGAAAATACTAAATGGCTTATTAGTTTTGGATTTAGGTTTTAATTCCATAATAGAGATATATGAAAACATACTGTAAAATTTAAAGTGCTAATCATTATACAGTACCTTTCTTGTTACCTCTACAACATTTCTACGCATGGAATTCCTAGACTGCATCTTAAAATAAAATGATCAAATGCTTACCAAACAACTACTACCTTTTGCTATACAGTATCTTGTTGGGTACTTTCACACTAGGTCTAGCATGGAAACTCAATAATGATGAGGTTAATCAGATGACATTCATGCTAGAAACCCAAAGGGATGAAAACTAATCACTAATCAAAGGAGTGCATGCAAAAGAGCTTCTGGGAGCACACACATTGGAAATCTAATTAATAAAAACTCAGTAGCCCTTCAAATTATTTTGGAATGCATGTGTACTAACTATATATTTTTCTTATATATGTATTTTTCTAAATATTCATTTTTAGAAAATCAAAATTGTAAATATCTAAAATTCATAGTGTACCTCCATGAAATACCTACCAAGTTGGGTTTTTGTCACAATTTCAATCTTTTTCTTTTTTTCTGTTGTTGTTTTATTCTTTCTTTTTAGAGTTCTAAAAAATAAAATGGGAAGCATTATTTTTAAAAAAACTATAATTAAATAAAATGAAAATTACAAATACAAATACATTTAGGTTGGGAAAAAAGAACCCAGAGCAATCTCAAGTAACCTACAGAAGATACTTTTCACAAATATACTTGAATTCAAAATTCTACAAATGCTTAACATAACTAATTTTATAGCAAGAACTTTAACTTGTCCTAATTTGAATGGAGTTTATATGATTGCTTTAGTTTTATATTGTCTCTCTATTGAATTCTCCATTCAAAGTAAAAGTAAATCAAATAAAGTAGATGATATTCACAATAGATGATATTCAGGAATGGGAAAGCACAGAGCCATCTAAGATATGTTGAAATCTCTTTCCCTTTATACCAACCAACATTCTCATCTCTGAGAAAGTTATTCGTGCACTCACCAATCTGCCTCACATTTGTCTCTGCAATTGATTCACATGATCAGAGAAGAGGAAAAAATTATGTTTGTGGGCTTTTTGTTTATAACACAGTATCTTCCCTTGGCTAGCTATTTTATTCATTAATTTAGGTCATATGTCTTGAACACAGGCTTTAGTATTTAGCTGGCCTTATTAAATTCAAACACACTTTCATCTAATATTATATAATATTATAGTTAGTTGCAGTAAGAATTTTATTGAAGCAGCATCAAAAGTACCACTCTAAAAAGAAAAACAGTTCCTAGATCTGTTGAGCCTTCTTTCTTACTGAGGAATAAAGAAGCTTTAATAAAATCTATGCTCCTTAATAATATCATGTTATTTTTTCAAATATAGATAAAGTATATATGGGATTCATTAAATATTTAAATAAGTAATTGTGTATTTAAACAATATCTTCTAAATGGATAGGTTTTATTTTCTTTCTGATGATCTATATATACTCTACAGAAATCTCAGGTTTCCTACAATTCCTGATCTTTGTCCTCTTTTTGTTTCTGCACTGAAATTGCTGTCTTTGGAACTAGCTCAAGTGACAAACATTTGTTTAAATGGAGATGAAACAAGTGTTAGCACACTTTTTTGTTTTCTATGTAGGGTAATTTTACAGAGAAGAACTCTTGAACTCTCATTTTAAAAAGTAACAGGAGTACAAACTTGGGCATGATACAGATGGCTAGTATTAGGAGTCCATGCCAAATAAGATTTCTTAAGTTCTTAGCAAACAGGTGTTCACATCATTAAACCGCTCACCGACCCTACTTTCCCGGCTGCAGATAAATGCAGCAGATGGGTCAAGGACTGAGTGAATATGGAAACCAAATGCTCAGCTCCAGGAATAATTATGATGTATTAATAACGATCTGAGATAATGCTGCAGTTGCTTGTGCATTCCCTATTTGGCCGTGTGCACACATAACTTCTGGGTACACAGGTTCAATGCCAGGGAAAAAGGAGAAAAAGCAACATAGTTTAGTGTGAGGAGTGCTGGGCTGGCAGCCATCAAGACTCCAGGGTCTTCATCACTGCTACACCATTCATTTCTTTTATGAACTTGGGCAGGTCATTTAATCTTTCTGTTTCAATATTTTCTTATATAATAATAAAGCAGATAATACCTGCCCTATTTAACTCACAGGATTGGGGGAGAATGAATAAGTTATGAAGTCTGCACAGATTTGTAAGCATTTCTTGAAAAATTTGGTTTGAGATTTTTGTTCCTCTTGCTCCTTCACCTCCTTGCATTCACTGGTGGGGGCCTGTGGCTCAGTAATAACCCTTCTCTGAAAGGGTCTGCTAGAGGGGAGATAACAATTCTTTCTTTTCTCTTTCTCCCATATGTGTGAATGCCCTGTTCTGTGGCAATTTTGAGTCTCCTCATATGGCACAGAATCTCAGTGTTGGAGGGACCTTCAGGGTCTTCTGGTCCAATCCTGCTACTGACATTTGAGAAAACATTTGTGTGTCTATTGCGTGCTGTGGCCCTACAAAGAAGACGCCCTACTCTCCTCTGCTGTTTCCTACTCCCAATTGTTTGCTAGAAGTAGAAATGAATACAGTTTAGGTTTGTCTCCTTGCCTTTGATCACTAAATCCTGCTTGAAATTTCCTTTTGTAGTCCTCTGCTACCATCCTCATTTTGGTCCACATCTCCTCATATTTTATCTATTGTGAAAGCTTTCTAGCTCTTCTCTCCCTGCTTCCGGTTTCTGCCCAACCAACCTACTCTGTAAAGCTTCATCACTTGAACACCCATTCTGTATAGATACTGCTTGAAATGCATAAATGTTTGAGGCAAGATTTTGCCCTCAAGGAGTTTACAAATTGTCATATAAGTTTAAGATCTCATGGTTTACCGTTGAACTTGTGTCATTATATTGCCTTATTTTCTTGTTTTTTTTTTTTTGAGTTGGAGTCTCACTCTGTCGCCCAGACTGGAGTGCAGTGGCCGCTCCCAGCCACCGCAGCCTCGACCTGCTGGGCTCCTGCGATCCTTCCGCCTCAGCCTTCCGAGTAGCCGGAATTACAGGCATGCGCTACCATGCCCGGCTAATTTTTTGATTTATTGTAGAGATGAGGTCTTGCTGCCCAGGCAGGTCTCGAACCTGCAGGCTCAGGCAATCCACTCACCTCAGCCTCCCAAAGGCACGGGATTACAGGCTGAGCCACCGAGCCCGGCTCTGCCTTATTTTCTTAACAAACTTTTTTCAAAAGATGTCTTTCCTACACAACCAATTTTAGACTCCTGGATAGTAAAGCACCTGTTTGTGTACATCCTTGAAGCTCCTTCAGCATACAGCACTAGGATCCTCCACAGGAATAATCAATAAATATTTATGAATTAATTGGTTAGGTAAGTGACCAGAATTAATGCCTCTGAACTGATGCCAAGGTACAATGGGTCCATAGTGCTGTAAGATGTTCAAATACTATTATTTATAAGATGACTAAAGATAAGTTATAAAATTATCTGGATCATTTCTAGATGGGACGTCATAGGAATTCCACCTGTTGAAAGTCAAGGCAAGTGCTCCAATTTCCCTCCTCCTCCCCTCACATTTAAAAAGTAAGTGTATACATTTCTCCATTCCTACCAAACACAGAGCAGAATAATTATCTCCACTGGATGTTGTCAGTGGATGCTGGCATCTTGACTACCATTCATCATTGTGTGAAAATGAGTGTGATGTTCTTCAGTACATACTTACATTAAAAAGAACTAGCACAGCATAAGAGCAAATGAAACAATTCCCCCATCCCCAGAATATGACATTTAATCTAAACCTTAAAAGATGGTAGCATTAAGCAGGCAAAAGAATTCTTTAATAAACCTAAATAAGTTTAATAGGAATGTCAAATGCTTTATGCATCCCCATCAGGCTAGGGTTTGAATCAAAATATTTATTCTGATTTTTGTACCATTCAGAGAAAGATCTGGCTCTAACTGACTCAAATATTCAAGAGCTGCAATTCTCCTTTCCTATCCACCCCCTCCAAGCAGATTAATGAACACTCTCAAAGTATAGTTTATTCACTTTTTCCCCATTATGGTCTCAGTCTTGGACAGCAAGGTGAATTAGGGATCCACATAACCAATACTCCCCAGCTCTTTGTTCTTAAACACACTTGAAACCTTCTGACTCTGCTGTGCCTGCACCCACACAGTCTTATTCAAATTAATGTATTTTGTTGGGAATGCTTGAAGGTGTGGGTGGAGGTGGGGGAGGAGGCAGTACAATGAAGAAAAAGAAAAGAGGTTGAACCTTTGAAAACAACATTTTCGTGTGATGATTGAGAGAAGAGAGGCAGAAAAGCAAAGTGGTAACGTCAGTTCAGTTGCCATGGAGTGGAATGATGCTTAAAATCTGTAGTGCAGATTGTTTAAGAGCAAGTCTTCAGAGGGATATGTACTGCAGGGCTGGCTAGGTGGGAGCTGACCAAGGGGCGGGAGGGGGAGAGGCCAGGCAGTGGACGAGAGAGGCCCTGATGGAAGTCTGCACAGGCGGGGAGCCATGGTTGGAGATGTGGGGAAAGCCCACTTTGTGGCAACACACTGGTAAGGGCTATTCAATTCATTGTTGAATCCTGGCACAATATTTAAAGACTGTGCTGGAGAATTGAGCGTGGCTATTTAATCTATGTAAAAGTCAACGGAAATGAGAAATGATTGAATCATTGAGACCCTCTAACTTAAATGGTGTACGTTGTTTCTAATACAACCTGATGCTTGGTGGAGGTGGTTGACAGGAGGGGTGTTCCTTACCAGGGAAGCCCTCTGGTGCACTGGATTCATTTTGCAGAGCTAAGAAGTTATTAGCTACACCCATGATGAGTTCAAATGCCACAGCTGTCATGCCACTACAACGCTATTCCCACATGCATGCCTACATTTAATGTGGAGTCTCACGTCTATCCTTTCATTCTTCACAACGACAGTGCTGGGGCTGCGAACCCACAGGCACACTGGATAGCAATTTGTCACTTTTCCCAGGCCACTTCTTGCCCCCTAGACTGCCCAGAGACAAATAGGTAAGGTTTGAATGACATTAAGCGAGCTGAGCACAGGGAAAAGAAGCTTCCTTAGGAGGCCGGGAATGCTGGCAGCACTATGACAGGGGCAATGTTATCACTGGGGACCTAGAAAGTGAGATGACACGCAGAGTCCCAACTACCTCGGATTCAGGTCCCCTCACTTCACTCCCAGCTCTTAGGCGAGTCAGCCGTGGCGCATGCGCACTGAGCCACACCCGCTCCCCACGGAGCCCTGCGCCTCTCTGCCAGGCTTTGGCAGCCGCTCGGGATTACTCAGCAACGCCCCCCTCCACCGTCACCTGCCCCCAACTCCGATTCCCGCAGCAACTAAGACCCTTCCATAAGCTGCGAGTGGCCCCAGGGCTCACCTACATTCCCCTTCCTCCCTCTTCCCACAGGCCCCCGCCTCCCGGCCTCCCGGGTCCCCAGCCCCCAACCCCTCTTCCTGCCCACACACAGGCACCTTACCCGACACAATAGGAGGGAACGGCAGGGGGCCGCGGGTGCCGGGCCGGCCAGCTCCGCGTGCCGTGCGTCCGGCTCCTCAACGACACCGTCACCGCTCCTTCTGACGCCTCGTCCTCAATGGGGCAGCAAGTGCGGCTTGGACCTCGGTGGCCTG